TTCATCAGAACAATTACCATTTATAGAAAAAAACACAGGGAATCTAAGTTAGGAAATTGGGAAGGTGACTGAGGCCGAGATGCCAGGTCAGGACCAATAACATTGCAGGAGACCCAGGCCAGATGTGGCAGCAATATTCAAAACAAAGACGAATGGTAGACTTATAAATATGTAAAATAGATTTAGGAGAGAAAAATTGTCTAGCCAGACATAGTGAACCAACTTTCTTAACTGAAGATTTAGCAATTGATTCAATATACACTTTCCACTTCATGTCAGCTGAAAACGTTAGTCCGAAAAGGCGAAATAAGTCACTCACCCGGAGGTTAGCATCAGCAGTTTTCATTCTACGTCTGCCACCACACTCTGTCATCTGCCTATCTTATGCTCTTAAGATTTTCCCAGCTAATAATAAATTCTGGTAGGACTACTAACCCTCTTCAGATCGCTTCGCCGCAAAGGTTAAATAAATCCGGTGAGAAGACGCATCCTTGTCTCACACTCCTTTCTGTTTATGTGTACTCAATTTATTTTCTATCCGTATGAAGGATATTTGCTAACCGCCCCACGCGGTCAGATGTGGCACAAGGCCGAATTTAACGTGGGGTATCAGAGCCCGTAGGCTCGGGCAAAAATTCCCCGTAGACCCCGTAAAAAAACGGGGTCGGGTAGATGTCTACCACCCCAGACTAGACTCTGCCCTTCGGCATAGCCTCGTCTGTGTTCCTCTCTGCCCAAAGGCAGAGAGTTCGACTAGCACAGCTGGAGACGAATCTCCGTATGAAGGTGGTTTGTTACCAGTCAAAGTTCTGTATTATTCTAATATCGCTCCCCAAAGAATCCAAGTTTTCCTAGCAGTTCAAATACGTCTTTTCGGCTGTATCAAATGTTGCGTAATTAATTAAACATAGGTATAGGCCTTTCTGTGTTTATAGTGCTCGTTCTGTCTACATTAATGACATTGTGTAGCAACAAAATTGTTTTAATAGATTTTGTATGCTTAATACGGTGACAAAATTCTTTTCATCATCGCATCAATATTTTATCAGTTGTACTATTGAATCTGTTTCTGTCATGTGTAACTTTGTTTGCTCATATCACAGTTGTTTTCTTTGCATATATTGCATTAAGTACTAAACTAGGCCGAATAAAACAATTCGTCACAGCATTAAAATCCAATGGCGACGCCATAGAGGGAATACAAACAATGTTTCTGAAACTGCCACATTTGAAATATGCTGCTGGTGTGTTTGTTAAGCCACAAGTGAAGCAGATGCTTATGTCCCAAACTTTGTAGATTAAAATGACGGTGGCAAAAAAAATGTGTTTAGAATGGATTCAAGATAGTTGTCAATAAGGCTCTTTAATTAAGAATTACTTGAAAGTTACAGCTGTTTGGGATAGGAGCAAAAAATATCACTCAAGCTGCACTGCTTGCGTTCTCATTTGTAATTCTTCATATCGAGTCTTGGTACTGTATTAGAAGCATTTTCCCACACTTTCAGCACAATTTTATGGGTGCGTATTATGGATGAAGGCGTATTATACATGGGGAATTACGATAGTTACATTCCACTATCGCCGATCGGATCCCGAACTACCACCAGTCACGGTGAAGGAATGTCCCAAACCCACTCTCAGAGATTATTCGACCTGGTCTTAAGTGGAATGTTACTTATAGCCCATCGCTAAAGAGGCAGAAAAATGGTCGGTTCAAGAATCTGACTTCTCGTGCCATCCGCTTACCTATTGCCAGAGCCTAAATTGCAGTACTGTTGCCATACTCAAATGGGAACTGCCTAGGCCTCACTTTGCCGGCTCGATGCACTCAAAAAGTACCTCGGAGACTTTGGAGGTGACAAATTATTTTTCACTTCACAGGAGGTATGTGGCAGACCTCTCACTCTGATCGAGAAATTTGAAGTTTTGTGGAGGGTGGAACCACCTCTAAATCACACTTATTTCCAGCTCCACACTGACCCAGTGTGTCAGAACTTGTTAGGGTCCCAGCAATGTGCAAATATTGAAGACCCAATCTAAAAACTATAAAAGTATAAAAATATAGTTTTATAGGTTTTTACTATAAAAATGTATTTTATACTTTAGTCTTGGTACTGTACTAGAAAATCATGGTGATCGATTTAATCGGGAAACACAGCTGATTGACAAGTGATATCAGGAAATTTCAGTTGAAGCGATGGTTAATGACTACGTATGCAAGTTAGTTCAAGAAATAAGAACAATCTCGGCTCAATGTTCACTTTTGAGTGTACAGACGTCCTCTGAAAGTTCTCCACTGTCTTAGCCGGGCATTGAACTCACATTCTTTGGGTCCTGTCACTGGATCTAACTAACGCCTTTATCCACTGTGCCATGTGTCCTTGAGGGAAATTAATAGGAGATAGCTGATAACTGACATCCATTAAACATGGCACGTGGAACTAGAACAGTCTACAACAGTGAGCGAAATAAAGGCCGGAGCGTACAACGGCCGAAACGTTGTAATAAATATGACGACAAAGATGAGGACAATAGTCCGAATAATATAAATAGTGTACATAATACCTCATCTCAGAAATATAGACAGATACTAGTAATTACAGTTTTGTAGCATTCTGCTTTCTTTGTTTGTTACACATCGCCATATATTTACTGAATTAGTAGAATAAATATGACGTCAAAATTAATTGCGAGACACATAAAAAAAAGCTAGAGCGAAGCGGTAGATTGATAAATTATTTTCTTTAGTAATTGTTTCAAGATTTTATGTATTTCAATAAAAAAATAGCACTGGCTGCACGGTAAATGAATGCCAAAAGTTTCCTCATAAGGAAAAGGCTAAGATTGCCATTACTATTGTATCTACTCGTTGCAAATGTAGGTAAACTTCAGTTAATCATTAAACTAAATAAATCACCAAATTTCATTTGTTGATCACAATTTATAGACAACGTTAGAGTGTGGAAGTTTGAGCAGCTCAATTTTTAAAGCCATCATTACCTGCAAGATTATATCAGAGTTAACATATAACCATTGCTGAGGATCACGTAACTAGAGTTCTTCTCAAAAGTCCACGAAATTCCTTAGCATTTTTGCTCGACTCCAACAGTGTTCTGTCTTAAATTGGCTCAATAACTCACTAACCAGTAGTAACTGTTCTAGCGAGACAAGCTTGTTAACCATTACACCGCCTCGAGGTGCCCTACAAACGTTTTTTATATATATATATATATGTACGAGCAGTACCCGTGAAAACTTCAGTTTTCCTATTTGAATTTTCTGATGAATGATAATTCTTAACAGGTTAAAAGGCTTATGTAATCATTATGTACACGTGGAATTTCCCGTATTGCATCGTTATATATCTAAGTTTAACAAACGATTTTAGCAAAATGTTGCAATAAAATCATAAATATACGAATTCAGGTTATTATTTAAAGAAAAGCGTACAAGTGGAGGCACGGTAATGGATAGCACTTGGATTAAGGAATCGGAGAGCCGAGTTCGAATTCCAGTCGAATCCATTATATTCACTTACGTGCTAATACCCTTGGGAAAGGTATGAATCCTCTTCTTCTCCCCATTACATTCACTTGCGTGCTAATACCCTTGGGAAAGGTATGAATCCTCCTCTTCTCCCCAGCTATGGGTAAATAGCAGGACAGACCGGGTTCTATAGCCTTAGATGGCAATTGGTCTACCGCAGAAAGAAATGGCAACCTACTACGGGAAAAAAATCTGCCTCGTCAGTCATGTATCGAAAGATACATGATCGCTTAAGCGTATATCATGCATGGCGCATAACTGACTGTACAAATGAAAACATCCAAAATTGACAACTTTTTCTATTTCACTAAAGCAGACGTTAAACACATGAGAGCATTATCACCCTCTCTAGCTTTCATTTCTTTCGGTATTACTTTCTTTCTCGTTATTATTATTATTATTATTTATGCTTTACGTTTTCTCACTAAAACCAAAGAGCGTCTCTGATATATCTTTTTCTTCCGACTATCCTTGCAATTATAACGGAAGGATTTATTATATATCTGAGGGAAAGGCAGGCGTAACGTGCTTGCTAGTTTACTAACCAACCGAAGAACAAGCAGATTGCAGACGGCCCAAAATTGATATTTAGATTAACGACAAATATTTACTTTGTGTCTGCTAACACAACACCAGGAAAGAATAAGAAAAAGAAACTGAATATAAGATAAATGGCAACACTAAACTTTTTATGAATCAACAGTAATAAAAAAAAAGTGCATAAATGAGTATTTACAAAAATATGTATAAATACTCTTGAGAAAATTTGGCTTCAGGTAAATTAAAATGATTTTTGTATGAAGGTCTCTAAAAAAAAAAAAAGTGTCTAGGGTGATAAAAAGAGTAGTTTTGATCCTGTATATAGGATTAGAAGAAAGACTTTATCAACTAGCAGCTGTTTTCTCCGTGTCTGTAGCTGGCAAGGTAGAAATCAACCTGGTTTCTTTGAAGTCAACAAAGTGTCACCCGGTCCGTTTAAAGTGAATCTTTTTTTTTCTTTCTTTTTTTTTTTACTCCCGACTTGTCAGGTCACAAACTCTCTTTTTATTGTTTTTTAATTAACGTATGGGCTTATGAACTTTGGAAAACTAACTATAGCCATTTTGTTGTTTAATCATTCTATCTATATGATTTGTTCTCTGTTACTTCCGACAAAATCAAACCGGGTCAAAGGAAGCTAATTTTGTTTTTCTTGTAAAAATCAAACACGAGCAGAGTATGTCCAATTCTATAGCTCTCTGGTTGTTTGTTTAAAGAATAACGTTCTTCCTTAAGGATTTTGGGCGTATTTCTGATATAACGAACGAAATTACTCAGACATCGAAAAATTTATAGACACTTTTTTATTTTGTTTGGTTTCTTTTTTTTTACCGAGAAACAGAAAAATGGTCTGACGTATAGAAAAAAACAAATAAACAAAAATGTCCATTCGTTAGTCATTCCCCAAAAAAAACTTATAAAGGAATAATGAAGAGCACATACAGCAAATAGATAAATATGAACAGACTGAGATAGATAGATGGATAGATAGATGTGAACAGACTGAGATAGATAGATGGATAGATAGATGTGAACAGACTGAGATAGATAGATGGATAGATAGATGTGAACAGAATGTGATGGATAGATGGATAGATAGATGTGAACAGAATGTGATGGATAGATGGATAGATAGATGTGAACAGAATGTGATGGATAGATGGATAGATAGATGTGAACAGAATGAGATGGATAGATAGATGCGAACAGAATGAGATGGATACTTCTTTTAAATCTTAAGATATGGACAGATAGGCGATTCGGATATGGAAGGAGGGCAGACCCGGATTTCACCCACTGAAGCCCAAAGCTATATATATATATATATATATATATATATATATATATATATATATATATATATATATTTGTGTGTGTTAATTTTTGATAATTTAGTCTTCAAGAATAAAAAAAAACATAAGATTTTTTTTTTAAATGAAGCCATCGAGAGTAAGTGGCCTTAAATCTATAGTTTATTTAACTTATAGCTAAATCCAGCAGTGAGGAAAAGAGATTATGAACGTTGTGAATCTTGATTTATATGCCGAAAAACTGGACAACTAACACTTCCCGTGCTACGTTTATGATTTCGATAATCTTACCATTGGTTTGAAATTTATTCTGGTTGAAATAGTGTGGATGTGAGGCTTTAACATCCAAAATATGTGAAAAATTGAATCTGTCCTATTCCTTCTGAAAATTCTCAAAAAATAATTGCTATTCAAAATACACGCTCAGATTTCTAAAGTAATCAATTACGATCGATCTTTAAGACCTTGAGCAAGTACTTCTCTCTTCACTATTAATGCAATTCCTTCCAGGGTCGCATAGATTAGCGACACACTGGATCAATGGTGACAGGATAATTTCCCACTGTTCGTATATCTGCTAGTATCAGCAGTAGCAATAAAAGAGTGTGGGCTATTTATAGAAGGCCGCCGAACTTAATGTATTAAAATGTGATTTTTCCCTTTTGGACATGAATAAAATGACAGCGGGGAATGAATAACGGAAAAGGCATAAATTCTTTTGACTTAACTTATTTTATATTTGGCTTGACCTGACCTTCTCCCGGTCTCATCTAAGAAGAAGATTTTTATGCTTAACTACTAAAAAGATTTCTTTTCATCCATAAAAGTTTTAAGATATTCTTAAATTCTGTTCACTTGATTGGAAGAAGGAGAAATAAAGTTGCACTTACAAAATGACTGGTTAAAATGCTAGAAAAAGAATCGTTATTTTACGTGATTTCATACATTTTAGTTTCTTTTAATAAATACTTGTATTATTTTGAGTTATAAATAATTTCCTTTTTTTTTTTTTTGTTTTTTTGTTTACCAACTTTATTCTTCATAAAATAAAGTACAATTATATTCAATCTGAATTTATAGGATAACGAATTATCCTTATATACACTATTTACATTCGGACTATTGTCCTCATCTTTATTGTTACGTTCACAACGTTTCGGACGTTGTACCCTCCGGCCTTCATCAGACGTAATCTACAGGGAATTCCGAACACTTTATTTAATCTATGGTAGTAGACTGTTCTCATTCCATTGCCAATGTCTAAGATTATCTCGTCTAGTTCTTACTTTTAATACTGATTAGTCATTGCTCTGTATGTTTCGACTGATTCCAAGAACACACTTCCAGAATGAAGGCAGGGCGATAGCACCTGTTAGGGTCCTAACTATGGGCTAATAATGAACTCACAAACAAAAACAAGACTATGAAAGTATAAAAAAATACATTTTTATAGTAAAAATACCAGCAATATATATTTATATGAAAAAAATTCCAACAATACATTTTATTTGTAGCTGAAGCCATAAGATTGTGTTCAAAATATTTAGATTTCGGTATTAAATAATCTATAGAGATTGATATGCCGCTAAACAAAATCAACCGGACTAAGGATTGAACTCACAATTGCAATCACCAAATTCACAAAACCGCGCTTTAATCCAGTAATTCATACATGCTTATATATATATATATATATATATATATATATATATATATATATATATATATATATATGGTGGACTCTCCCGTCGTATTCAACATCAGAGGGTCGAGTAGCTCAGTTCCTAGGAACCGACAGCCAGACACCAGCACATATAATTTGATTATAGTGGTGAAGGCTTTTGCAGAACCAACCACACTTTTTGAAGCGCCGAATACAAAGACCTGATGCACTACGTGCCACAAGGTCCCCAAATGACCCTCTGCAGGTTTTGAATTCAGAGTTGTCCTTCTCCTAGACAAGTTGCCATCCAAGACTATAGAACCAAGTCTGTCGTGCTATTTACCCATAGCTGGAGGGAGAAGAAGATTAATACCTTTTTCAAGGGCATTAGCACGTAAGTGAATATAATGGATTCGACTGGAATTCGAATTCGTCGATTCCTCAATCCGAGCTGCTATCCACTACTCCACCGTACCTTATATATATATATATATATATATATATCTCCACGTATAGGATTGGTGTATACGGAATAAATTCCAATAACCAACAAATAATATTCTTAAGAGTGCTCAGTACAGAGTAGAGCAAATACTTTATTCTACATTAAACACCATCACTTGATAAGACACCAGAAGTGTTGAAACAAAATGGTTATTTTTGTAGTGATTTTTATAACATGTTTATGTTATAATTTTCGAATAAATATATATATATATATAAGAGAAAATTAACTATCATCACTTACACTTTTCAAAATAGCATGCAAACTCCTATTTCGGCGGGATTACCATCAGCTGACTCGTAATCTCTTTCCGATCGTTTCAACGTAACTGTAAAAAAAAAAATAGTTGTGACAGGAATCCAATCTGAACTAGAATGGGGAAGGAGCATTGAAAGACTTGGATGATGTGATGATTTGTGAACAGGCCTAGCACTAAAGGGGAAAATCTTCACATTCGGTCATAGTTAATATGACGGTCACACGGTCCGTAAGCTCTATCAATAGTCACCTTACAGGAGAGGATCTTTTCATGCAGACACAATAAAGTTTTGTCTAATTGGTTGTCAGTTTGCACTAAGGCTGTTCAAATGGTTCGTAAAATTTAAAAGAATATCTGACTACATTCCGCACAGACTGCGCGCATGCACGTGTGTGTGTGTGTGTGCGCGCGCGCGTGTGGATAGATAGATAGATAGATATAGATAGATATGGATATAGATATGGATATAGATAGATATGAAGATAGATAAATATGAATAGGCAGAGATAGATACTGTACGTGCGTTTGTGGCTTTCTGAAGAGACCTCATCCATTTGTATTTATACTTCTCTAGGGATGGTGTGAATAAACATCGAAATATCTGAAATTCGGAAGTATTTGCTTATTGATTACACCCTGATTATTGTTTATTTTCTTCCTTTTTACGTAAACTTTGATGTGACCAGATAATTACATATCTATGGTAGCTTCTTTCAAAAATAGCTTACTGAACATAATAGCTGAAGTTTTTAACTTTTCTTTTTATTTTGTCTGAAAGAAAAGGAAAAAATGACCTGTACTGAATAAAACATATAACACGATAGTTCTTTTTTTTTTTTTTTTTTCAATACAAAAGTTATTTATTTATTATTTACAAGGTGTTGTCTATTAGTTTTCTTCCGGAACTAAGAAAATTTGTAGATTCCAAATACGTGATAAGAAAAAAAAAACACAGTAAGAATGGCGTACACACGCTCACATAACTTGTTATTTATTTTCTAAGAACAGAAAAGAAAAATAAGTTCGGAACATAAATTCACAAAGATTAGACATAAAAAAGATATATATGAAACTCGAAGCTCGGGAAAGTTAACTGAATTAGATATATATATATATATATATATATATATATATATATATATATATATATATATATATATATGGAAGACTTTCCGTCGTTTTCGACGTATGAGGTTAACAAAGTTAAAATATTGTTTTTCTTTAAGATTCTCCCTTCCATATTTATCAAAATATTTCGGGAAAAAAATCGATCTTTCTTCAGGAAAAATTCAAAGAAAAAAAATTGTTATTTTCGACTCCTACCATATTTCAAGCAACTTTATAACTCCCTCTTAGAATCTTCCACAGTGAATAATTTGTCCAAGTTCTTTTGCAATCTTTCATGATTTTTTTTTCCAAGACCATTCTATAAATAAAGGAATAAATTATAACACTAGTCTACAAAAAAATTGAATGATGCATAGGATGTTTTGTCTAATACTGAACAATTTTGAAGTGTTGAATCCAAAAATATAAGCCTTTACTGTCATTAGCTTTAGTTTTCCTACGCAAAAAGTAGTCATGATTGAGTTTGGTCACTGTAAACGTAAAGAAAAAAATGAATGCTCATTTGAATTTTAAACTCAATGTTAATGTGAAATAAAACACCTCTGAAAGAAAGACATATAAGACGATAAGTGATTAAAACTTGAATCTTGGGAGCAACTGGTGGTCATACCAAAAAATTCCTAAATATCGTGAATGCTTACTAGATTTGTCCTTCTTTTAAATTCCAGCAGTAGTCAACCATTATTCTTTTGTTCCATCTTCCTTGATGGCTTTCTTCCATATCTTTAATGTCCTGGTGAAATCTTTCACTTTGCTCGTCACCAATATCACTGACATAGTGTGCACCAAACTTGAGTATGTAAAGTCATTAGAACCAAGAACTTTTTTCCCATTTATGATAATACAGTTCTCGTTATGTATTTATTATAACATAAAATTATGTATTTATTATAAATAAAAATTATGTATTTATTATAACATAAAATTATGTATTTATTATAACATAAAAATTATGTATTTATTATAACATCATTTTTATGTTATAATAAATACATAATTTTTATGTATTTATTATAACATAAAAATTATGTATTTATTATAATATAAAAATTATGTATTTATTATAACATAAAAATTATGTATTTATTATAACATAAAAAAATTATGTATTTATTATAACATAAAATTATGTATTTATTATAACATAAAATTATGTATTTATTATAACATAAAAATTATGTATTTATTATAACATAAAAATTATGTATTTATTATAACATAAAAATTATGTATTATTATAACATAAAAATTAGGTGCTTGAGCAATCAGGGATTCAATAGCACATGTGTTTTTTAAGGAACCACTCAGAATTAATTTGAACATTCTGGGAATTATGGTTATAAGAAGTTAGTTTAAAACTCTTTTTAAATAAATCATTTTTTAATCTTTTTAAATAAATTCTGTACAGTAAACTGGAGCGCGAACCTGTTCCGCATTCACTGCCATATAGGAGGATTGATATTACATAACAGTGTAGAACTCTTTTCTTTGTTATACACTATATTATATAATATTTATGTCTTGATTTGATTGCTATCGACTTTTATTAGTCTACGCCATCGCAGAGCAGCGTTCACTGAGAAAAACCGAGCTGACCTTTTCGCAAACCACTTTTAACATGTTCGATCATTCGCAGTCCCTTATCCCATCACTCTCAGTGCCTGCTCTGTTATTAATCTACACACGCTGGTTAGCTATTTTACTCGCTGTTTCAATATGTTCCTCTTGTCTTTACTATGTCATATAATTGTTAAATTTTCAAAACTATACTTCCTATTTCTGATTCTGAATCTTTTTTGTTTCCATTTTCTTGAAGATGTCTTTATTGCTGAAGCACTCGGACCATATTATTCTCAACCTCATTCACAGTAACTTATCCATAAACTGCACAAATAATATGTGTGTGTTTGATATGCATTTAAATAATAGTATGATATATCATGTTGCTTAATTTCCGTCTTCAGTGTTAGAATAATTAAATGCACTAAACAAGAAGAAAGGACTAAACCTCAATCATAAGAAGCATGAATGTGTGGTTGTCAGCAAAAAAAGAAGAACCCAGTATGTGAATTACAAATTGATGATAGTGAAATCAAACAAGTACATCAATTTAAATATCTGGGATGTGTTTTAACAGAGGACGGAAAATGCGACACCGAATTCCGAGGACATCGAAAGTTGCCTTCCAAAAGCTAAGCAAAGTATTAAGAAATAAGAAAATTTCATTAGAAACAAAGAGTACTTACCAAAATTGCAAGAAGACGGAATGCATGGTTGTTAGCAAAAGAAAAAAGCCCAAGATGCAAATTTCAATTTGGAGATGCCAGAATGAAGCAAGTACAACAATTCAAATAACTGGGAAGTGTTTTAACAGACGACGGAAAGTGCGACACTGAAATCTGAAGGCGCATTGGGATAGTGAAAGATGCTTTCCAAAAGCTAAGCAAAGTATTAAGAAACAGGAAAATTTCGTTAGAAACAAAGAAAAGAGAACTTAAATGTTATATAATATCGGTCCACCTATATGGTCGTGAATACTAAACAATCTCCTCACAGATGAAAAAAAAGACTTAAAACAACAAAAGTGTACTGCTACAGAAGGATACTCAGAATCCCATGGACTGAAGTTCTAGAGAACATGGAAACAAAAAGGACGCTTTTATTCAACACCAGGAAGAGACGTTTGAAATTTCTAGAGCACATATTGAGGAAAGAGGGCTTGGAAAATGTGATACTCACAAGATAAATTGAAGACAAGATGGGCAGAGGATAAGCAGTGAATAACGCAACTTAAATGCTTGGCTAAAAAGGTATTAGGAGAGATAACGAAAAGACACTATTTACTAAAAGCCTCAACGGATAGAAATTGTGGAGAGCCCTGATCGTCCACGTCATGGTACATAGAAGAAGAATTTTGACAAATTTTCATTGTGCTGACATGAGATTCTCACACCACAGTAAAATCAAAACAGTCTTTTTTAAAGAAATTAAACGCTTCTAATGTCATCCAAAAGCTGCGAACTATTTTCTTTTCTATTTTATGCTCATTCAGCATATAAGCAGGATATTTTCCTGCTCATGGATTTGGGCCAAAACCAAACTACGAAAATGTCAAACTCAACAAAGATAATTTCGAGTCAAAGTTCACAACATTCAACCTTGACCTCGAAAATTTGAATTTTGACGTTCAAATGAGTACCGAAATTTAAAACAACGGCTTATATTGTCTGGGATTCAAGTATTTTTTTGTATTTTTGTCCAGTAAATACGATATTTTACTATTAGCCCCTGAATTGTTACAATCGATAAATAAATCGTAAATATTTATTTTCTAGTATAATAATATCGTATAAATAGGTTGTTTTGAGTTTCTTTTTCTTTAGTTTTTCTTTCTTTATTCATTTGCTAAACATTTTCTTCTTAGTGATAACATGTGTCATTGGAAGAAAAGGATGCCTTAATTTGTTGTAGTGATTAACACTCTGTTCAAAACTCCTTACTTGTTTTTAAACGGATATAGATGTTTATCCCTTTTTTTTCTGTTTAGGATTGGATTTCAGGTTCCTTCTAAAATCTTCTCATTCTCTTTCTTTCCGTTAACCCTTTGCGTCTTAGTGTCATTATCGCCTTACATCGGAGGAAATAATTAAAAAAGAATGTAACATGAAACGCAGTCCGAGCGGGTTAAATCACTAATTTTCAAGATAAGTTAAGAAATTTCAAATGAACGGATTTCCGGTTCCTTCTAAAGGCTTCTCATTCTCTTTCTTTCCCTTAACCCTTTGCGTCTTAGTGTCATTATCGCCTTAGTTGTGCTTACCCATCGCCTTATTTTCCCTCCCACTCCCTATTCTGTAATCTATTTACTCAAGCTTGTTTGTTAGGTTATTTTCTGGGGTTTTTTTGTTTTGTTTTTTTTTTTTTGTGTGTGTTTTTTTTTTGTTGTTGTTGTTGTTTTTTCTACTCTCCTTATCATTAATATAACCTGTGAGTGTCAATTTCTTCAAGGTCTCTTTCCAGAGTACCCCATTTTTATGATCTTGTCCCTGATTTACACCAGTTTTATAAAGCTGCTTTTAGATTTTAAAAGGTTAGTATAAGTAATAAAATATAAAAATAAGATTAACTTTAGATCAATATTATTGGCCAGTGAATTTTATACATGAAAATAAAACTCGGGGTTTAATTAAAACTATAAAAACCGTTGGTAAGTAGGAAGACAAGACTGTTGTCGAGACAATAGGTCACAGTCAGGCGGGAAAAGGTCAGACACGCGTCACGATTACCTTGCTGCAATTAAACTGCAAGGTGTACTGTGTTTCCTATTTTGTTTAGAATTGTTTGCTGTGTGTCTTTTTTTTTCTTTTTTTTCTTTTTTTTTCTAGCGCAGATTTATTTTACAAAGATGATTTTGTTAAGTTT